CGCCCTCTAGCAAAGATGCATAGGTTGCCTTTCCTCATTAGTAAGCATAGGTCTCAGAAATGTTTTGAGTTAGTCCATTGCGAGTTATGGGGACCTTCCTTAGCATTGTAGATTATTTTAGTAGATGTACTTGGTTAATGTTGCTGAAGTTTAAATCAGATGCTACTAGTATTTTACATAAATTTTATGCAATGATTGAATATCAGTTCGATTCCAAAATCAAAATAATTAGGACTGACAATGAAAGTGAATTCGAAATGAAACATTTCTACTATGACAAGGATATCATCCACCAAAAATATTGTGTAGAAACCCCTCAACAAAATGCTATAGTCGAGAGAAAACATCATCATATCCTAAACATTGCAAGGGCTTTAATGTTCCAGAGTGGAATTCTAATGAAGTACTAGTCTGATTGTGTTCTTACTGCAGTCTACCTCATAAAATAGAACTCCTTCTCCACCCCTCAAAAACAAAACACCTTTTGAACTCTTTTCAAAGCTAAACCTACATACTCTTAGCTTAAAGTCTTTGGAAGTTTAGCCTATGCCTCTACACTCGCACACAATTGACATAAGTTTTATGCTAGAGGAAGGAGATGTATGTTTTTAGGTTATCCTTTTGGGATTAAGGGCTACAAATTGCTAGATTTGGATTCAAACAAAGTTTTTATCTCTTGAAATGTTGTTTTCCATGAAAACATCTTTCCTTGCAAAACCTTTGATATTGTCACTCAACCATCTTCACCAATCTTGAGTGAAATTTTTTTTGATAAACCATCAACCACTAATATAGATTGTGCTATTGAGCAAACTTCTTCTACCCATGATCAACCTTCAAAGGTCTTAGACCAACCAACTACTTCACTAAATTCATCTGACGAACTTGAGAATTCTGTAGAATTACCTCAGAGTAATCCCACAAGTCCTCACTTGCCTCGAAGGTCCAATAGGGATAGAAGACCACCTTTATATCTACATGACTTTGTATGCCAACAAGTCTCCTCACTTCCCAATTCATAGAAGCCCAACAAGGAGAGAGGTCATGGAGATCAAATAGTCCTTTCCCTTTATGTGCTACTTTATCTTATCAAAGATTGTCTAATCCACATAAAGCTTTTGAAACTTCCATATCAACACACAGAGAACCTAAAACATATCAAGAACCTGTTAATTTTGTGGAATGGCGTAATTCTATGAAAGCTGAAATTATTGCACTAGAGATGAATGACACTTGGGTTATGACTAATTTACCTCCTGGAAAGGTTGCCATATGCTGCAAGTGGGTTTATAAAATTAAGTTCAATGCAGATGGGAGTGTGGAACAATACAAGTCTAGGCTTGTGGCAAAAGGGTACACACAACAAGAAGGGTTAGACTATCATGAAACGTTCTCACCTATAGCAAAACTAGTAACTGTGAGGACTTTGTTGGCTATTGCTGCAATCAAGGGTTGGTTCCTACACCAATTAGACATAAACAATGCATTCCTACATGGAGACTTAGATGAGGAAGTGTGTATGCAACTACCTCTTGGATATTCCAAGGATCATGAGTCAAAGGTTTGTAAACTTCGCAAGAGTCTATATGGACTCAAGCAGGCCTCCAGACAATGGCATTCTAAGCTGTCTTCATTTATTATTCAGCAAGGTTTTCAGCAATCTAAATCTGATTATAATTTATTTACAAGGAATACCAAGGACTCTTTCACAACCATATTGGTCTATGTTGACGGCATTGTAATAGCAGGCAATAGTATGCAGGTTATTGAAACTTTAAAATCATCTCTTGATGCCATGTTCAAGATTAAAGATTTGGGGGTACTAAATTATTTTCTTGGAATAGAAGTAGCACGATCAGAAAAAGAGATTTATATTTGCCAAAGGAAGTATGCTCTAGATATTCTTGCCGACTCTGGAGCCATTGGAGAAATACCAACCGAAATACCATTGGATCAACACTTCAAACTTTCCAAAGACCAGGGTGAATTACTCCCTAATCCTTCCATTTATAGGAGACTTATTGGGAGGCTCCTTTATTTAACAATGACCAGACCTGATCTTGCATACTCAATACAACTTTTTAGCCAGTATATGCAAGCCCCCAGAATCCTACACCTGAATGCAGCTCATAAAGTATTGAGGTATATTAAACAAGCTCCTGGATAGGGTTTCTTTTACTCCTCTACATCTGATCTACATCTCAGATCCTATTGTGACTAGGATTGGGGGGCATGTCCAGACACCAGGAGATCCATCACAGGCTATTGTGTTTTCCTTGGGTCATCTCTAATTTCATGGAAATCCAAGAAACAAAACACCATTTCTAAATCTTTTGTAGAAGCTAAATACGTGGCTATGGCTAGTGTTTGTTGTAAGTTAAGTTGGCTTAGGTATTTGCTCCATGATTTGCAAATTGATCATCCTCAAGTGGTATCATTAGCTTGAGATAATCAAGCTGCTCTACACATTGCCGCTAATTCGGTCTTTCACGAAAGAACCAAACACATTGAACTTGATTGCCATTTGATCCATGACAAAATCGAAGAATGGAGCATTGCTACTGAACATGTGAGTAGTGACACTCAGACTGCAGACATCTTGTCTAAACCTTTTGCGTCGGCATACTTTTATTCTTATTTATCCAAGATGTGAGTAGAAGATATCTACTCTCTATCTTGCGGGGGGCTGTTAAAATATGACAAGAAGAAAGCAAGAAGGAGGCTCGTTGCCAACAGAGATTCCATAAAAGTCAAAGAACTGTTAGCTACGCATTGAATTCTAGAAGAATTAGCTAAAGGAATTTTTTCTTTTACTCCTCTACATCTAATATGCAACTCAAATCCTACTGTGACTCGGATTGGGGGGCATGTCCAGATACCAGGAGATCCATCACAGGCTATTGTGTTTTCCTTGGGTCATCTCTAATTTCATGGAAATCCAAGAAACAAAATACCATTTCTAGATCTTCTGCAGAAGCTAAATACAGGGCTATGGCTAGTGTTTGTTGTGAGTTAAGTTGGCTTAGGTATTTGCTCCATGATTTACAAATTGATCATCCTCAAGCGGCATCATTATCTTGTGATAATCAAGCTACTCTACACATTGCTGCTAATCCAGTCTTTCATGAAAGGACCAAACACATTGAGCTTGATTGTCATTTGATTCGTGACAAAATCGAAGAGGGAAGTATTGTTACTGAACATGTGAGTAGTGATACTCAGATTGCAGACATTTTGACTAACCATTAGCATCGGCATACTTTTATTCTCATTTATCCAAGATGGGAGTAGAAGACATCTACTCTCCATCTTGCGGTGGGCTGTTAAAATATGACAAGAAGAAAGCTCGTTGCCAGCAGAGATTCCAGCAAAGTCAAAGAACTGCTAGCTACGCATTGAATTCTAGAAGAATCAACTAAAGGAATTTGTGTGTGTGTGTGTGTGTATATATATATATATATATATTAGGCTCCAAATCAGTTATGAGTGGAAGAATTAATTTTTTTGGTTGGAACCGTTTTGTATAGCTAGTGTAGAGTTTGTTAGGAATATTCCTTTTCTTCAATTAAATAAGGGCACTACCAGTTTGTATTTTGATATGAAAAAGAATACACCGTGAAACATTCTCCCCCTTGTGTAATTTGTTCCCTTTTGTTGGCTTTTCTCAACTCAAACTACACCTTGATCATAGTCCTGAACCTCAAGGGCTCGATAATTGTTAAGAATTTTGTTGGCTTGCCAGGTATTTATGAAGCTAGTATTCGCAATCTAGCCGGAATATCAGTTCTTGTCAATCCGGACACTCTGAAGTTCAAAGAAATTGGTGAACAGAAAACATTCATACTCTCTCGAGGCCAGGAAATCCAATGCAGCTGGGGATTGTATTTGGTCAGTCAAATATATGGTAAATTAATACTCAAAATTCACTAAATAAAATATTATTTTAATCATTTTCTTAATTTAGTACTTACAAATCAGTTTTTACTACTCTAGTTGCTACGTGTACATCAAGGTTTACATAAGAAATTACATAATATTCACATAGTATTTTACCATTTATCGGTTTAAAACATAGTCGACTTTTTCATTCATCTTTTTCCTTCACATCATTTTTGATAGCTGCTTATGTATCATTTTTATGTACAAGTAACAAAATCCAATTTAAATTAGGCTTACGATAGAAAATTTTAATATGGTAGAAAATTTATCAAGTTAGTTAGAGATTTGAAACATTTGCTAGGTGAAATTTATTTTAAAAAATTCTTATTTTACTACAATCTTCACTATAGGAATCGTTCCTAAGAGCGATTTGATTATATATGAAAAATTGAAGTATGGCAACCGGTCGAGGTTGGGCGCCTAGTTTATTTACATTATCTATTTTATTTAAATTTAAACACATAAAAGTAATGATAAGAAATCGATTTAACTCTTGTTTTATTATCCTTTTTGGCACAACACAATTCTTAGAGGATGTTTGGTGGTACTTAAAATTAGATTTTTTAAATAAATTACGATAGAAGTTTTTGAAATGTGTAGTTAAAAAGTTGTGCGACCATGAAATATGTGATTAATATTGATTGTAGTGATGGCAACGAGGCAGGTTTGGGGCGGGGCACCCCTCATCCCGCCCCGTCCTCCCTGTCGGGGTAGGGACGGGGCAACTTTTTGCCCTGTTGTTGCCCCGTTTAATTTTTTTTTTTTTACATTTTCAAAGTTTCAAATTATGTTGTTATTAGAGAATAAAATACAAATTTAAAATTAGTTTTTAACAGGTGAATTGATTAGAAATAAAATTATTTTTAATTATTATTGTTATTATTATTTTTTTTTTCTTCACTGGGCGGGTTCCGGTCGGGGCGCGCCCCACCATGCCGTCCCGCTAACCCATTTGGGACGGGACGGATTTTATTGCCATCTCTAATTAATTGTTTGATTTTAATTTAAATTAAAATCAGATTTTAATATAAACCAAACAAATGATTTTTCCAAAACAAGAAGACCTCTTTATATTTGACGTCATTCCTTCTCGAGAAAGAAAGAAGATCCAAAAAGGAAAGGAAGGAACGATAGAGAGTCACGGGCTCGTTTCTCCATCCTTCTTCGTATTATAAAATCCATCTGTGCCCAGAATCGAAATCCCATTTTTATTTTTTCATCATCTTTTATTCGATTGAATCGTTTCTTTGATCTCTCGTGTTATCGACATAAATTTGATTTAGAACTTCAAATTTGATACGGATATACGATGTCATATGCTTATCTCTTCAAGTACATCATCATCGGTGACACAGGTAATTGTTCTCTCCATTTTTGATAGTTTTATTACTCTTTGTTTGTTTTATACGATTTTATTGGGTGTTTGTTTTGTTTTGTATGTTAATTGTGTTAATTGGCTATTTGCTGGCTTTGATTTTGCTTCCTTCGGATCTAGAATTGAGAAGCGGGGCTTAAAAAATTTTAAATCTTGATATATGCGATGATGCAAGAAAAAGCAAAAAAATTGATTTAAACAGATTTGTGTGGACTTAGGGATGGCAATGGGCGGGGCGTCTACACCCTCGGGATTGCCCCTCACCGATCGACGTTTAAGGCAAGGGGTAATCTCCCATGCCTTGTTTACTGTCCAGATCATTTTTTTTGTTTATTGCTGGTGAAATCTTGGGGAATTTGGGTTAATGGACTCGAGTAATTGTTTCAGGCTTGTGCATAAAAAAAGTAAAAAAAATTGAATTTTTTACAAAACTATATAAACTGGGCAGCAAAACCCCGCCCCGTTTGGCTTGGGTAATTGGTTTGGATTTGTAAAAGTTAAAAGTTTTGATATTTTTTAAAAATGAATATATAGGCGGGGCCAAAACCCCCCACTGTTGGGTCGGAGAATTCCAGCCTTTTTGGGGAGGGCACCAGCATGGCTCGGGTTTTCCGTGTCAAATTGCCATCCCTATGTTGCCTGAAAATTTGATGATACTTAAGTTTGCTTACTCTTCTTTTTTGTCATCTGTCTTGGTTTGTTGTAGCCAATTTTTCCCATATGATAATAGAATCTAAGTTATGAAGGGTATAGATCGAATAGGAGAAAACATCGGCTGTAAGAATGAGGTTGTAATTTGCTTTGTTAATTAAGGAGGAAGGTATGTTTAGAATTTGGTCATATTGATATGGGTGAATTTCAAAATTCAAATGTTACTTTCCTTTTGTGTTTTTTCATTTTTATATACGTTCTGAATCCTTAAAGCTTAACAAAAGTATAGGAAATGTTTTTAAGATATGCATTTCAATAACTTGATGTGTAGAGGAAACAAATTTTATCTACAGACATATTACATTAGGTTTCTTTGAGGTACATTTTCTCCTAATGTAGATCTTGGAACAAACTTTTTGGGTTGAAAATTTTAAGGTTTTTTGTTTGCTTTGTCGGTTGTGAAGTCTCATTGCCGGAGTTGGCATGTGTTCAGGAGTAAGGATATGTATAGTGTATAAGTTTCATAACAGATGGAGAATATTGTTCAGTATATTTAGCATGAGGATGGCTGAATGAGTAGTATTTTTTATGGGCTTGAACATGTCTTGCAGGTGTTGGGAAATCCTGTCTCCTTCTGCAATTCACCGACAAACGCTTTCAGCCAGTTCATGACTTGACTATTGGTGTTGAATTTGGGGCTAGAATGGTTACAATTGATGGAAAACCTATAAAACTACAGATTTGGGACACGGTTAGTTTACATACTTTGAACTTTGTTTTCCTGTGATTTTTCCAATTTGAAATCCTTGAACAAGCTTGTGTTTCCCCAAGAAGAATTTTTGTTTTCGTCACCTCCTATTTGGATACACTTCAATACAAGTTACTGCATCCACGAGCATGGGTGGAGCCAGAAAAAATCGTTGGGTTGGGCTGATTTTCTTAAAAATCCAATGAACCACACCATAAGATATAGTCTGTTGCACGAGATCTAATTTAAAAGGCTATGCTCATGATACTCGGGACAAAACTCAAGCATCTATAAATTTAGATGTCAACCCTAAGATGTCCTTCTAGATCATCATAGCTTTCCCTGCCAAATAGAAAATTGATGCCTTCTCTAGGAAATATACAGTGATTGAAGCATGATAAGCACGAGCAAATGATATATACCCAATCAAGACTAATAAATTACCTAATGAGCACTCTTTCAAGACACAAGTCCCAAAGAACTTTGACAACCAAGATTCCAAACAACTGAAAATTTTGGCCAAGACACAAAGAAATGCATGATTGTGTGAAACTGTTCTCAAAATACTATTCAAATTTGGTATCAATCTTCTATACCAACACATTCTAATCTCTCCTAAAGTGAGAAAACCTCCCACGAATAAGAAATTCACTTTTTTTACATACACGTTTGACTCACTTCAATTATATACCTATAATCATATTAATTTATAAATAAACGAGTTTTTAAAAAAGTACTTTTTTTCCCTGACAAAATTAAACATATGTTTGAGATTCATTTTTCTCAAAACTCATTTTTTTCTAAAAAAATTTTCAGCTACACTTTCTTTAATAAAATGATTTTATAAGTAAATCTAAACATTTTCTCTATTGTTTAATCACACATTCTTCAAAAAATCACCATTCCAAAACCCATTTTCTACCAAAAATAGGGGCATAAATATAGAGAATGTTACTTATTTTGGTGATATCTATTTCATAAGTTTTTTTTACTTATAAGTAATAAATATTTGAAAACATGGATAGAAACAAAATAGTAATTACTTTTAAGCTTAGCCAAACATGTAGCATCTCCTATTATAGTAAGTCATTTATTTTTAGTCTAACATGAATGAATAAATTAATTATTATAAAATTTACTTATTTAATTACAATTGAACTTTCTAAACTTAGTCAAACATGAATGATATAAAACATCTAATTTGATAATGAATTATTCACGTTACATGAATGTGAATTAAATGAATAGATAATTATTATGGATTATTTGGTTAAATTTGGACAAATCAATATTGGGCTTACGCTGCTATTGAGTTTGACTGGGCTAAAAAGAATTTTTGGGTGGACTTGAGAATTTTTTATTATTGTTTTTAATCCTGGCTATAGCCCAGGCTCGCCCCCCTTCCATCCACCCATGTCCATGAGTTACTAATTCCTTAACATGTCAGGCTGGTCAAGAGTCATTCAGATCTATTACTAGGTCTTACTACAGAGGGGCTGCAGGGGCACTACTAGTTTATGACATCACAAGGTACTGTTGCTATTTTCATCTTTAAAGATTTTATGCAAAGGTTTTACTTTTATTGAAGTGCTTCAACGTTATTTTTCCAAGTAATGCATGGAGTGGCAGAATGTTGTTACCCTATATGCAGTTTATACAGTTTATTTATTTTTTTGTCATCATTCTCTTTCGTTGAAACAAAGGTTATTGAACTCACTATTTTCCTCTTTGCATAAATATATCTTAGGAGGCTTACATGCCCTATCTTTTGTTAAACCAATCATAACCCAATGTCTCTTGGAATTTAAATGCAGATTTGCAGCATGAAAATTCATTATTAATGTAGCATTTTTCTTTTATAAAAAGAGAAGTAAACATAAAGAAGATTATAAATTAATATGTTAATCTTTGCAAGACGACTTTGTAGTTTTTTCCTTCTTATTTTGTGGAAACTGCTGACTTATGAGACATAGAACAAGGAAGGTAGATTTGTAGACATCAAGACAGGGAAATCACTCAACTATCTATCAACTTATTGAGCTTTATAACTGAATGTTGCATCTTTTTGTTTATTGCATTACGACTTTTAAACATATCATTATCTCTGTTACTGAAAATGTGAATTTATTTTGTACATTGGCTATGGTTATGTCAATATGCTGGTGGAATGGAATGATCTTATTGTTAATTTTTCAGGCGGGAAACTTTTAACCACCTTGCAAGTTGGTTGGAGGATGCAAGGCAGCACGCAAATGCTAACATGACCATAATGTTGATAGGAAATAAGAGCGATCTGGCTCACAGAAGAGCAGTCAGCACAGAAGAAGGGGAGCAATTTGCAAAGGAACATGGCTTGATCTTTATGGAGGCCTCTGCCAAGACTGCTCAGAATGTTGAGGAGGTGACAATTATTTCCTTGGTAGATTTTAAATACACACACTTATTATCCCAATGAACTGTGTTCGTAGCATGCTTCCTGAGATTCGTTAAATTCAAATTGCAGGCATTTATAAGAACTGCTTCCATGATCTATAAGAAGATTCAGGATGGTGCCTTTGATGTATCAAATGAGGTGCGTAAATGTTCCGAGTTTACAACATGAGATTAGCATAAAGTGGTTTCATTGTTATATGGTCAATTCACCTTGTTTAAAAATCTTAGTCCTAATAATTTTGAGAGAGGTTTGGAGCTGTCTGAAAGAAGTAAAATCTACACATTTTATAGGACCCACGTCTTATTATCCACACATTTCTCAAAACTCACAATTTATAAGCACATAAAAGCAATGCCAAACATATTATTAGTAGAATATAACATGAGATGACAGTTCTTCACCAAAATATGTTTTTCTTGCCTTTTTGCAGTCTTTTGGAATCAAAGTTGGATATGGCGGAATCCCGGGACCGTCAGCTGGAAGAGATGGGGCTACTTCCCAAGGAGGATCTTGCTGCGGTTGAGTGGGAATTGATTCTATAAACAGATCTTGTGAAGGTTGTTTGTTCTAGTTTTATGCATTGGTTTTTAGAGTGTCTTACTATCCCAAGATTATTTCCTATTTGGTTTTCTTAATTATGAAATGTGTAAAAACAGTAAAAATGATAACATTAAATACGTTTGTACATCCTGACTTTTATTTCTTTATTTTTAATTACATGCTCAAGTTTTCTATTTATCACTAATGACATTGAGAAATTAGGTATAAAATATTAGAATAATTTGACACTAGAGGCCACTATTTCACAGGGCCTGTACAAACTAGACACATGCCGAGTGATTATTAAAAATAAAAAAATAGATTCACCATTTCCCTTGCATGTGTGAGTGGTCTGTACAGTCAGTTCAGTTCAAAATATTAACCATATTGGTATGAGACACTTCAACCATAGCCAATCAAGAAATCTTTTTTTTGGGCCTATCACGATCCAAATTAGGACCTATTACCTTTTCTGTACAATGTAAACTCATTAGGTGGTGTACCTCATCCATTATAAGTCCATAATTTACCTCACGATGTGAGAATTTGTTCATGCAATCTCAACAACTTCCTCTTTGGCACGTTATAATTACATTAAAACTATCTGATTTTAATGTACAACACCTTCGCTATACGTTACCGAGCATAGGGATGGCAATGAGGGTCGAGAGCGTGTCAACATGTTCCGTGCCCTGTCCACCAAGTTTGCCACCATCCATAACCGAGCATAGGGATGGCAATGAAGGTCGAGAGCTTGTCGACATGTCCCATGCCCCATCCACCAATTTTGCCACCATCCCGATTGCCACCTAAGGCGGGGTAGGGATGGGATACCTCATTTATAATTTATTTATTTATTTTCTTATAAGTTCTATGAGGTTTTTAAATATTTAAATTATTAATTTCTTGATTATATTCATAATAATAAAAGTACAAAATTTGTACTAATGGATTAAAAATGAGAAGATTCGCATATCTACTAATAACCTATTCAGATATATAAAACTCCATATTTACTAACGACAAGTCGTTTCATTAAGGAGGTGTTTGATAGGCATTTTTATGTAAAAATGTATTTTAGAATAGTAAATTGATGTGAAATATGTGGTTGAAAAATAAAGAAAAGTTTTTTATTTATGTGTAATATTATTTTAACAAAGAATGTGTGGTTGAAAAGAAGAGAGAAAAAAAATGCATTTTGAAGAAAATGACTACCAAACGGGTTCTAAATTTATCTTGCAACATTTACATAAAGAATTGGATATGAAATTTCTTAAATTTATTTATTGTCAAAGTATTTTATTTATTTATTTTTGAGGTGGCGTGGGGGGTGCGTGTGGGGATTTATTGTAAGGGAAATTTTTTAATGAAAATTCATTTTTTTCCCCTAATGATTTTTATTTTATTTTTTATCTCCTTTGGCTCCGCCTCTAATTGAGGCTTTAGTACGGGATTCATCTGGTCCCGCATATAAAAACTACAAATCGTATTTTAATAATGAAGTTTATAAATAATGTAGTTTTTTTTTTTTTTCATGACAAAAAATAAATATTTAATTCAATGTCTAAAATATGATAATTAAAAAAAAATAAATAAATGTGGTGGGTACCCACCCGCCCTGCCTTCGGTGCACAACCTCCGCCCTGAAACCGTCTGCCACCCCGTTCAGGTGGATATCGATGGAAATTTCCATCATAACGGAATAATCTATGTCCAAAGAAAACAGTCAATGAAAAACATCGCATGAATTTCAATGAATTCGTAATCGTTTGACAAACTGGCAGACCAATCCCATGTGGCGATATGGCCGTTAAGCAGCAGTCCTTGACTTTCCACAGGTTAGTTTCTTTCTCGCTGCCTATTTTCTGGGTTGGTTCTTACTTTTCCATTTTCAAAATTTTCAGAAATTATGCTGAAATTCTAACCCATTTCGCGAAAATAGAATTTAGCAGTAAAAGAGGGTGGTCCCACATTTTTTTAGCTGAAATTCTAACCCATTTCGCGAAAATAGAATTTAGCAGTAAAAGAGGGTGGTCCCACATTTTTTTAGCTGAAATTCTAACCCATTTTTTCCAGCTTTGATCTTTATTCTTGAACTAGACGAAATAGGTGTTAGAAAATAAACAAGCCGAATTGACTTGAACCAATAAACCTAAAACCAGTGTCTCAATTTAGTTTATTTGTCCACTTGTCACATATTAGTCAAATTTAACGACGACGAAAACTATTAAAATTTTATAAGAGTAGCGATATGTTCTAACTTGTATATATAAATAGTGTTGAGTCCTCCCAAAATATTTATCTTTGCTCGATCAACATGGCTCGGTATTTTGTTGTTGCAAATGGTGGCAATTTTGCAAGTGAGGGAGGCTTTATGGGGTTCATGTTCATGCTTGGTATGATTGTTATGTCTTTGTCCATTATGTCCATGTTTATTTTTGCTTGTGGAGACTGCGCTGATGACCCTGATCACAAGAAGGGAAGTGGAGTAGCAGCAGCAGTAGCAGCAGCTGGAGGTGGAGGAGGTGGTGGTGGAGGTAGTGGTTGTTAGATTAATTGGTTAGGGAATTTTTATGTACGAGAATAAAACTTGTTATTAGTGAGTTATACAATGTTTAGATGGATAACTTTTTTTATTTTTTTTCGATCTGTCCAATCACGTGCCAACATGTGTCTACTATTTTTGAGTGTATCTTTCGAGTTATGTTATTATTAGAGAATAAAATACAATTTTAAAATGAGTTTTTTAACAGGTATATTGTTTAGAAATAAATTTATTTTTAATCATTTTTTTATTTTTTTCCTTAATGGGTCGGGTTTG